GAATTACCGGGCTGTACTCCTGAAACTAAAGTAAAGTTATATGTCAATTATGCCTCAATCAAAAAATATACTATTAAAACATTATTGGCCAAAGCAAAAAAAAAAAAAAAAAAAAAACCATGAAAAAATTTAAAAATATTGCTTATACTGTTATTTTAAAAAAATAGAAAAAAGAAGTAATCACTGCCTCCCAAAGATAGGTTATCAAACCAAGGGGGAAAAAGGAGTTAAAGGAAGAAAAACAGGAGAATAAGATTTTTGAGTGGCAGATTTGGCTCTCTGCCTCAACAAGTGTCATGAGAGTGTGAATTTGGGACTAGGAGATACTAGGAGCCAATGGAAGGCATAAATGGCAAAATTAGCTCTCTTAGGGATGAGAAACTAACACTAAGAGACCCAGATAGGCTAATGACTGGAGACTGTACAAAGCTAGAACATAAATATTAGGACCATGTATTAAAGTGATGTTTGAATGAAAGGATAATAAAATCAGAGTCCTCTCAAAGCAAGTGAGGGCAGCTCCTGGAATCACATGGCCACACTGTTGAAAGACTAAGAAAAGCGGGATCACCAGGCCTGGGGCAAGATAGGAAAGAGGAAAAAAAGTCATATTTGATGTTGGTTTCTCTTTCCTTCTTATTTACTATACCTCACTTAACTAAACACTTAATAAAAGTTTGTATTTCTTCAACAAATATTTAATTTGTCCTTAATACTTAGTGAGTGCTTCCTGAGCGCCAGTGCCCAGGGTGTGATGATGAGCAGCCTAGGCTAGGGTGTTCGAGTTTGTGGAGCTTAATAGCACACAGTGGTTACCACCACACCTGATATCATAAGGGAATTAGAAAAAAGTTCCCTAAGTATATACCAATTTTGTCATAGGTGGTGGCTTGTTTTCAGTTTGCACACTGCCATTCATCTCAGAGTCAGGATTCCTGTGGGCTGTCCTGCGCCCTCTCGTTTTGGTGGTGTGGCCAGCCGGCTCCCTCTCAGCTTGTTCCTGGATGCTAATATGCATCTCGGTCTCATCACAAGAGGATGCAGAAGTTTGACTTTCATGCTGAAAAGAGAGACATTAATCTGCCATGTCCTATGTATAGAGTTATAATGCTCAGGAAGAATCAGCATTTAAATGGAATAAAAAACATATATTACATATGTAAAATATTTTTTAAATGCTCTAGCACTAAATTATAGGCAAGGACAAGAATTACAGAGTATTCAGAAAGAAACAATCACATTTAATAACCCAAGCTAAAAATCTAGGCTAGGAAAGTATTCAAAGTTATCTTAGTATGAGTAAATAAGCAAATTATTAAAAGTGTATTACTTTATTGAATATACACTATATGCTAGGCAGTATGCGATAACTGATAATAATTACAGCTAATATGACTTTATTGGATTAAGTACTAATATTATCCACAGTTCACAGATGGGGAAACTGAGGCTTAGAGAGTCCAGAGTAACTTGTCAAAGATCAAAATAAAGGAGTATGGTAAGAAGGGCACTTGAAGTGTCAAACTAAAAGTAAAGATCTACGGGCTGGCCGCGCGGTGCGATGGTTAAGAGCTGGCTTGGGATGCCAGAGGGCCCTGGTTCGGATCCCACATATGAGGGCCAGTGACACTGCCCTCTACAGCTAAGATG